AAATTTCTGTACAATATAGTCTATGACTAACTGAAACGTTAATTTGTTTCAGTTTTCAGTCAAAAATATTGTAAATTAACTGATAATTGTGATGTTACCACACTCCAGTAGGCATAAGTTATGAACGCTCTTAGAAATGGCATGTATGTAAAAGTTATAAAATTGCTGAAATAGGAGATATGTGTAAATATAAAGGTTTTTAGCATAATCTGTTTATCTTTGAGAACTTGGTATAGAAATAGACTAATAAAATAACACGGAAACTTCCGTATAACTGTAGTTTATAGAAGACATACAACAGACTAAAGACGCTCAAAAGTAAATAAAAATTATTTCGATGTTTTCTTTAAGTAAATAAAAAAACTTTCTTTTCATAGCAGGTATGTACGTCACGTACATGCTATTCTTTATATTAAATGTCACGTTTAAGCAAATAATGTATAGTAGTATAAAAATAAATACGTATACTTAAAAGAAAAGTAACGTAGTTACGAACAAAGCAGTTGTCTCAAAGGAATATTCTTGAAATAGATAAGGCAAATAGAAGTACACTCGTCTACTTTGTTATCACTTATACATTGAAACCTATATTTGATATATACAAAAAAAAAAAAACAATATTTATCATATTTTGTTAAATTTAAATAAAGCATATAATTGAAAATGAAGATAATTTATGGCGATACACAAAAATTTTAGTAAATGCTTATAAATATATGAGTAGGCATACAATTTTATATTTTCTGCATTATATGCGAATAGAACTCTGTAAGTTACTATGATTCTTTCAACAAACTACAGGATTTCTTGAGGATTTCTTCATTTCTACTTATCAAAAATAGACTAAAGCGCAAGTACCTGAATACATTATTGATATGTCAATCGGTCAGTCTAGTAATACTTCTTTAGCTTTAATATAAAAAAAAAATTACATGGTTAGTAAATTTTATTTCAGTCTTTAGTTAAATTTTTTCAATATATGAATTTTATTATTAAAATTTTTGTTCAAATATAGAACAAGAATAACAATTAATAAGGTATTCCAAGTGTGCAACTTCTGGTAAACATATTTTGATTTTCTGAATTAAAAAAAATCATATTAGATACGCACGTTTGAAAATGGAAAGATAGAAACAGTAAAATAGAATAAAAATACCGTGATTTTTTAAATTTAAAATAGTTTTTTTTATACGTGCTGTGAACTTAACACGTTACTTCACCGAGGACTAAAGAAGTAAGAACGTTCCTTGTGTAAGTCGTAAGTGAAGGCGTATGTAATGGTTCATTGTTTTTGTGGTAAATGGTCTGAGATTACACAAATTGATGCATGTAAGTATATTGTAGAAGTGAAAGGAAGTGTTCACATTTAAATAATGGACTCTTGTTTCGCTAAAAAAACAATGTACCTTCTAAAGGTAAGGCCAGCACCAAAATCGATTTGTTTTAAAAATCCTATACTTATATGTTGAATATTTAAGCTACTGCATATATTTCAAGTTACATATTCAATATAGTATCCAATTCAATAGTATCCAAGAGTATAATAAACCTGTATTTGTTTATCGTTTTTTATTTTTAGTATGAACTGTACTTATGCGATGAAAATAATATTACCAGAGTAAAGTGATCTTGGTCTCATAGTATTGAAAATTTTTGAGTCAATATTTGCTGTCTACCGTAAGTACTCTGTAAATATATTAGATTTGAATACCACTAATCATACAAGGTCAGTGCGAAAAAACTAAAAGGCACTAATGAATCCGTTTAGCTATGAGAAGTGGTGACAAATCGTTAGAACCGCAAATACAGATTACTTCATTGGGTTCAAGGTTATGCAGTTTGATACTATAAAAGATCTTATAATATGAATTTCCACAATTATTAAACGTATTACTCAATATTTAAACGACATTACTGAATATTTAAACAGTTATAATAATCAAACGGTGTTTCCAAATAACATCAAAAAGAGAAGGTTCTCCATTCCAATCGAATTGATTTATTGTTGTTACGCAATAGCTTCTTATATTTCGGATTGGTTTCGATTATCTTTTGGAAGTCAACAGAGTTTACTCCTGTATTGATTCCATACAACTTTTGTTATGATTGGAATAGACTTTTTATAAAACAAAATTTCAAACTATTAAAAGTCTAATGTCAATAATATTATTAGATGTACATCTGATAAGATACATTTAAGGAGCACTCAGAATCCCGCGGCTATTCCTCAGCCCACTGCACTCAGCTCACGACGTTTCCTAAAATCACACCTTAGTAGCATTACAATCTGCATCTTTCAGTCGGACCTGTCGCTAGATCGGTTTAGTTAGGACTCCTGCATAGTTGGTGCCTAGTGAAGTAGTTGTAGAACAAGTCTACAGCGTCCGTCGTGTCTAGACGGCGCGTCGGATCCCTATCGGCTGCCGTAAAATTATGTGACGTGGGTGGGCCCTGCACCGCTCTAGGATATCCGGCTGGATTCGATCTTCATTCACTTATTTAATTTATAGTAAACTTAGTATGCACTATATATATGTTATCTTCTTGAACCACGTATATAAAAAATAAAATAAATATACTCACGACTATAATTTTAGTAGCATAGTCAGAGACATTTGCTGAATGTGATGAACCTTACACTTGACATGCCTACATTCATCGAACATATAATATTGAAATGCTTTGCCGCTTTCTGCCGCATAGGATTTTAATATCCTACTAGAAAAAATATTCATATTATGCAATGTTTTTGCTATTTGTGAACCTTATAACAATTTTGTAAAAACTCAAGTTGTATTCTTACAAAAATAATAGTTCAGTACAATTCACTACAATAGATTGAATGGATTTTTTTTATAGTTATACATAGCGTTGTATTTGATGTCTATATATGGCTTTTTATTTATAAAATATAAATTGTTTGAATCCGTTGTGACAGTTTTCGTGCAATTATTTGTTGTACACAGGTACATTAAAATTAAAACATCATTCAATCAATAGGAAATTATGGGTTCACCGCAATTTAATATCAACAATCAGCCATTCTTGTCAACTACGTAGTTTTTACCAGTAGCTAGGTATATTTGCGTTAACCAAAAAGTTTTATTTTAGAATGTATGCACATATTAATAATACATACCTATTAAAATGTTACCTACAAGAATTTTAAAATTTAAAATTATTATATCTCTTTATTACAATTGTAGATAGACAATAAAAAGATTAAAACAACCTATAAATAATTTACAATAAAGACATTCTATTCTTTACGATACATTTAAAATTAAATTTAGGAAAGCAGATTCCATTAGCGTAGAGTGCAGGATATGAAATACAAAATCAGAGCACGTCGCAGGCGAGCAAGATGGACCCGACCAAGCTGACCCTAGTTAGCCTTCCGATTTGGTTGGATACATAGTAAGCGGGATATTCTCGTTTATTTTTTACGTGTACAATGTATATTTGCATCTGTAAGTATATCGCGTGTACTGTTTGTACTAAATGTGAAAATATGTTTGTTACCACATGAGGCCTTAACGGCTCAGTCAATCATCATAAAATTCCATGTGCGCGTAGTAGTTGGAATAAAAAAAAAATCATAGACTAATTTTTAGTAAATTAACATGAGATACGTAGACGCACACGAAATCACGAGCGTTAATAGGTTACGGTAACTTACAGTCAGATGTGCTGCATGCTTGTTTGCCACCTCACTGATATATGTACATCAAAGTAAAAACTAGTATGAAATATACTGCAGATGATTAGAGTATAAAATATTAGTTATTTTATATTTTCTCTCTTTTTTTTTTGTTCTCTTGATCAACAAAAAATATTAAAGTTATCGACGTTAAATATATTTATTTAATTAATCACTGTAAGTACCTAAGTATACTTAATACAAGTGTAAACACAATGGAGATCGCTCCTGATAATCCATACCTAAGTCGAAAAACGCAACGGTGCAACAAAGGAATCTAGATCAAACGTACAATGTGCTCTTTACGAAACTCGTTAGTAATTTGTGGGGTGTTAACATCTTTTCTCTGGTGAGAGTCTTACTAAGTGGCGAAACTGGCAACTCAACAATGGAACAAACGTTTGCTACCGGGCCAGCGTCGGCGCAGACGCATATCTATCGCGGGTCATCGCGCTGCAACCTTTCACTAGCCATGCACCTCAACCAGCTCACTCAACAGGCTGCATGGCTTCGCACGACCAATCACTATCGCTCTATAATCTAATTCCAGTAATAAACGTGAACGCGACTTATTTGCATGGCAACAAATTTCTCTTTTTCACCAACTTCAATATTATGTTTCAATTTCATCCTCAGTTTGACAATGGATATTGTACAATGGGACGTCCCCTGTATAAAATATGCGCGAAATTAAACGCAAACGTCTTCATAATTTAATTAATCTGAAACAACATTGGTGTACCAGAATTGCTCGCCTTAAATAAGATCAGTAACAAAGGCTTCCCAGTTTCACGCTGCGTCTATCCCTTAATTATCAGACAGAGGAAACCGCAAATAAAGGGCTATGTTCGTTGTGAGCGAGCAAGATAGGGCTATTATGGCTAACTAAAGTATGAAGTCCCAACGGAAATAAATGTGTTACTATCAAGGTCCTATTAGTAGGCCAATAGGATATTAGCTTTTTTATAAGATGTTCATTATACTATACACCACTTGTATATAAATCCACTTGTTGCTAATTAAAAGCACCTAACTACTAATACTCGTAAATGATATAAAAAAAAAAAAAACACTAAACAATTTATTTAATAATTCATGAACTTACAAATCATTTGTAACATCGAGTATAATTATACAAGCTATAATAATTACAAAGTAGTTTAAGTCGTTTCTGGTAATAATTATTTTCTATTATTTAATTAATGATTAACAAGTTAACAATATAATCAGTTATTAAGAAGGTAAGTGCTAAGTTACTTATAAGAAATAAAAAGAAATTGTTACGGCAAGTGTATAATTACGCGTTGGCAACTATACCCAAAACGTATAACTAAAAGTTTATAAATTACACGGTCATGCCTTTTGATTAGTGTTTGTAATTATTTCTTCGAATGATTGTGATTTTGTTTGCCATATAGGTACAAAATATATTTATGGCATGTTCAAAAGAGAATGGCGACACGAATCAGCGGTCTATTCTTACTAATAATACTATTTAATAATGTGAGTAATGTGATTATTTTAATACCTCTTAAAATATTTTTTTTTGTTTTCTTTTGTTTCTTTAAAAATATTGTATTCAAAAGTAGAGAACAGAAGGATTTTTTTTTAATAATGATTATTCCCTAATGTAGGCTCAAACAGAACCCCGCCTTGAATCGATGACTAAAACAGTTTCTTCTAAAGATTCGAAACGTAAGTATAAAGTTCATATTTCCAACCGATCCTCTAATTAATTAATATTGTTCTGTATTATTTTTGTTTAGATAATAATTTACAAAAATTGAGTGACGTTAAAAAGTTCCTACATTCAACTCGGAACCACAAAATATATTAGGATCTGATGAAAATATTGAGAGTAATTTTGATCGTCAAAACATCGGTCTAGAATTTTTTTTTTAATTAACAAATTTCAATAAAGTCATTGATGGAGTTTTAGACAAAAGTAAAAATAAAAAAGAAAATGCACAAAAAGAGAATATAGAAGTAAGTGAGGAGAAGGGAGAACACGACAGGGGTACGTAGTAATAATAACTATTTCTACACATATTTACATATGAAATAAAGGACATAGATGAGAAAAAAAATAAATACTGAATTTGCATTGCTGAATTATATACGCAAATGCTTAATAAATTGGAGTATAATCGAAATATATTAGTTCACTCAATTTATGATACAGAGGATAGCACAATGTCTAACTTCACATTAGATATTAAAGAGGATGATAAATAGCAACTTATTATGTTCATGTATGCAATTATAATGATCGTATGTCTACTTTTTTTTATTTTAATAGCATAAAAGTTTACTTCTATATCAAATTACAGATGAAGAAACACCATCTCAAAGAGGGCTCATAGCTGGTATGTATCACAGTGCTTATTATTTATAATTGAATTGACGAATTTAATTATAAAAAATATTTGAGCGATGACTCAACTAGTAATATTGACTTTTGCTTACAGGTGACATCTTCACTCCCTATGAAATGCTACCAATTACAGAGAAGCTAATCAACAAAGGTACACTTAATAAAAACAAGTACATAGTGTACAATAAATAATATAATTGTATTAATTAATTGATCGTATTTATATTTCAGTTGAGAAACCAGGACGTGAGTGAACTTCATATAATGTGCTAACTCAATACATATTCGGTATCTAATTAAGTATCTCTTCATGATATTGATTGCTTACCAAAGTACATATGATTACTTTTTGCAGAAGGAAAAGGTATAGTTAGTTCCGCAACTAGTCCTGAAGAGCTCGCTGATAAATTATTTGAAGCTTTCTGTGAGTTTTTAAAGATACGCCAAATTAGTGAAATTCATTACTGTATTTATATTTATATGGAGACTAATAGTATTTTTCTATTTACAGTTTTTACTGATGTCCGTATAGTAAAGTTACAAGGTATAGTCCGATAAAATAGCATACCAATTATTAGTCATACATAATTTTACTTTGTCTGATCATTACACGAGTATTGATTTATTATATTTATATTTAGATTTTGATATTACCGGTCTGGACGCTCTTCAGGCATTAGCGCTCAGCGGAGAAGGTATACTGAGTATTATTATAAATTTACTTTTTAGTTTACGTATTTATTTTTATTTGAATTCAATTTTCATTTTATATATATTTACCAATTCAGATTTCAATTTGTACACGAATATACATAATCATTTACTCGTAATATTATTTTTCATTATTGCGTGTGCGTATTCAATGTTAATTCAACATTTCAGTGGCGAATATTAGAAATGCTAACAGGGTAACAAATGAAATGCTACAAACAACTTTAAGTTACAGAGGTATGAATTGTGTCATAAAATTTACTGATAATTATAAAATTTTGATTATTATTAAAAATACAAAATATTTATAATCATTAGACAGCATCAATATTATTGTTCCTATAATTAACTAATAATTCCAGGACAAAACATCATTTTGGATCAGAAACCTAAAACGTCACATTATAAATGTGAGTAGCTGATTATCTTCTATGAAATTGCTTTTTTTTTTTGAGATGTAATATAAAATTCTTTAAAACTATGACATACTAATTTTACACGCGACTTCGTAACCGATAAAAAGTGATTTACTAGCTGCATCTGTGACTTTGTCTGCTTGACCGGAATATATTGATTAATCTAGTTAAAAGTTCTCCATACCAAATACTGCGAACTAGTCAAAGTTCATGACGATTGATCGAACTGTTAAGGCGCCAAGAGGTCAAATACTCGTAAACTCACTTTCACATTTATAAATAGGTATCGACGAATAATAAGGGTTGGCAGAAACAGAAATCATGTTAATAAAAAATTGTATTTGTTCTAATCTAAATCTTGTGTAGTAAAAATAATAAAAGACATGATTCGTTACTTAAGTAATTTATTCAATAAATTTATTCAATATAATTTTTACAGTGTACTTAAGTATACTTAAATAATATTGAATAAATTTGTTTTGCTCTAAGTAGAAAAAAAATAAGATAGGGTTTGATACATAAATTTATTTATGATGAAACTCTTGTATTTCGGAGTTCCAGTTCGTTCGTCATACCTGACAGATTATTATGAGTATATTCTATTGGTAAACCTATAGAGTTTTATTAATTATTATGCCTACTGCTTAGTTAATGTAAAATAGCGAATTTGAATTTTATTACACTAAAACTTATGCATTTAAATAAGCAATAAAATACTTAATCATACATATTTATACATATATACATCATTTCAGTGGTAACAAAAACTATTGAAAATTACAAGGAAATTAAACGACGAGGTAATATATAAGTAGTTGTTTCTAAAATTATATTTTTATATAATAGTCAATATCGCTTTTTATGTATAATTTATACATGAGTATTAATATAACTTTGCTAGTCTTCATTATCAATATACAACATCATACAAACAACATGCTGCACCGACTTCGAATAAAGGGAAAACACCTTAAGAATGATCGTGACGACATCATAAAACTTATTAAAATCCCACTACTTATAATGGAGAGTTTCTGAAATCATCATTATCATTAATTAAGACCAGTATTATTACAACAACTTTATTGCCTTTATTTAGAGATTTCCTTTATTTCCTTGATGTATTATTTTGCATTGTTCTCTGTTCGTCTCTTATCCTACAGCTAAAAAGGAATTTTACATTATATCAGTCTGATTGTATACTCTACCATCGCTTCCAATTTACCGTCCATTTATTCCTTTATTTCAGGCATTAAACTAGCGACAAAACTAGCAAAGAAGAAACATTTGATAATAAATAAGAACCGTAGACATTTTAATGAGAACGTCAAAAATAACGAGCAAATAGCAAATACAATGAAAGTTGCAACTACTAGAAAAACAACACTTAAAAAAACTAATAACAACTCTATGAAAAAAATAAATATTAAAGGTGAGACAAATCAATTTTTTTGTTCTCTTTTCAAGTGCTATTTAGCGGGGCGAACGGACGAGAAACGCTACGAGCTTATTAAATTTTAATATTTACAATTACAGATGGCGCAAATAAGATTAAGAAGCACGCTGTTAGGATAAATAAAGCTGTCAAATTAAAAAAGAAAAAAGCAGGTAAATATATGAGATAAAAGGATTTCATTTTATTATATTTTAAAGATACAGGAGCTATATAAAAAGTATGCAAAAATGGATATAAAAGACAATCATATTTCTGGACTTAACCTGCGTAGGTTAAGACAAATAAAGCTGTCAAATTAAAAAAGAAAGAATAGGGAAATATATGAGATAGAAAGATTTTTAATTCATTCTAAAGATAGAAAATTATCTAAACAGTCTGCAAAACTATCATGAAATCAAATTCCGAATTTTCGAACTCAATTTACGGACGTATTTTTGTTCATACCGAAATTGAACCTGTAAATGGAGCTTATAATTTTGTAAGTCATAAATCCTACCGTAAAAGTCTAAAGGAACGATACTTTAATATTTTTAATATCTTTAAACATGAAATTTGTATTTCGTTCGGTTCCGAAATTTTGGAAAACATTTCATGGTAGGCCCTCTGATATAAAAGACGAAATCCAGCGATTATATTCGTAAAGCTATATAATTTTCTTTACAAACTGCTCAGTTACATAGGCGTTAAAGTGTGACAACATCTAAATCATTTATCAATTTTCGAAAGCAATCAATATTTAATATATTATAAATTATTTTTCAAAAAGTGCTAGTACGAGTACAACAAACTAAAGCGTTAATAATTCAATAAGATTAAACTATTAAAATTTTGAATGTGATAATAAAAAAGACACCTATTTAGAAATTTTAAAAGTAAAATATTTAATACCGTCGCAAGTTTTTATATTTATATAAATTACATAAACTTACATACATATCTACAAATATTATGTATTTATAGTACTTTGGAAATTAACATAATAGGCGGAAAAAATTGCAGGAACTCTCAGAAATGAATTGAACTATACTACGCTATGATATCCTATTGTATATAATGTAATATGATTTAATGTATTTTAGATGCGACATGTCGTTGGCAATACGAATGCTCTAATCCAGCTGATTTGGATACCTGTCGGCTACATACTAAATGTATGAAAAAAGAAACTATAAAAACAACACCAGAATGTAAGAACTTACATTTTATTGACAATATAAAATTTTACAAAATTTACTAAGCTTAAAAATTTTACCACCAAACAGGTTCATCTGACGATTCAAGCCAGAATCTCTCAATTACACAGGTCGAGTGCGCTTCCAATAAATAATACGGAGTGTACTTATACACTAGGGGGAAAAGGGATTGTTAGTAATGGAGACTGAAAATCCCATTGCTAGCAATATATTCAACCAGGTCGACCTCCTCGCGGTTTCTCCTGGAAACTATCATGGTTAATTCCTGATGAATTCATCATGATGGGCTAACTGGCCTGTTTTCATTCTCGTCTATCACCCTTCACTGGTACTTTGCCAGCGTATCCCGTTAACGTAGGCGGGGTTACCATTCCATTTTCACCCATCAAAAAAAAACACACACACACTATTAATCTTAGTATATTTTTACATATAACATATCGATTTAGCTCATTTATATCCACAATAATGACTAGTATCATTTCAGTTATATCTACAAAGCAAAAACCGGATAAACAATCTCTTGCGATAAATCAATTTCGGAAAATGTGTAAGTTAATAATTTGTATTTATAAAGGTAATTAGAGGTATAAATACACGTTAACAAGTCGACAAATTATGTGTGGCTATCATGGTGTTGCAAACATCAATAAGCTACAGTTACTGACCACTCACCCCATCGATGGGCAAAGTACATCGATTACACAAAGTACGACCCGGCCTGCAAAGGGTTATAATCCGGCCCGCCCACGTCCCACAAAAAGTAGGAATGTCTATCGGTTGTACACCTATAGATATAAGCTACACTACATATACCTTAGGGGCCATTCATTATTTATCTAAGGACGATTTTGGTCATTTATAACCCTTCACCCCTCTCGCTTCATGTAAGCATATGACACGTCTTATCCCCTTTATTATGTAGATTTTTATTTAGTTTTTTTAAATAGTTAAACGTCTAAATAGCTAAATTATTAAGATAAAAATAGATCTCATAATTGTTATTTATTGCTCACGACAAAAATAAGCAAGGAGATAGATAATAACCGCGCAAATGTAAACTAATGATGGATTTTAAATTGTTAGGTACATAATAAACTTGTTCCATTATCTTGTATAACTCTTTAACTAAGATATCTAGCATACAATTTTAAGAAAAAGAAATTTTAGTATTATACGACTTAATATCATTTACAGTCGGAATAAGTATGGTGGATGAGGAAGTGGAAAAAATATGTAAGTTTCAATATAAATGCCTACCTAATTAGATAAAAATGCTATAAACTTTGTTAAATCATAAAACATATTCCAGTGGAAAGCAGAATATTACGTTTAAAACCTCAAAACATGGGTAAGAAAACAATCTATTATAACAGAGTTTTAGAAATTTAATATTATAATTCCACAAAAATCTAAAATGCAATAATATAACTTAATTATCATGCAGATAACAAGTCTGAGAGACTAGAAAGCCTAACAGAATATTTTGAAAAAATTATTATGGCAAAATTTCTACGTGGTAAGTGATTTATAATACATTTGAGGTGTTAACAATTATATCACCATAATAGTGTAGGTTTTTTTTTTATTAGGGAGGCAAACGAGCAGACAGTCCACCTGATGGAAAGCGGCTATCGTCGCCCAAGACGAGAGGAGTTGCTTGTGCGTTGCCGGCCTCTAAAGCCTTTAGATAGCCCATTCATGTATCTGCTAGTATCAATCGAGGAGTTTAAATGCATACACGTATCACAAAAGAAATCTTATTATGTTTCATAAATATAAAAATTTATAAAATCGATATAAAAATTGACAAAGACATTTGATATTTCCTTTTTCCATTTTCATTTCGAATCAATGAAAAAAGCTCTTTTATTTCATAAAACAAAATTTTCAATTAGGTACTGGAATCTCTAATTGTTTGTTAAGTAATCTGAGTCAATAAACAGATAATAAGAACTAGCAAAACAATTTAGCCATATAATTAGAAAGCAATATTCGTAATTTAACACTTAACAGTAATTATACTGTGTTACTTAATAACAACTACGCGAGCCACATCAAGTAATACATTACACGAGAATGGTTTTCATCCATATTACTCGTATTTATTGATTCGATAAATGATATCGACGAAAACCACTTCAATACTCGATAGCCCTCGAGTCATCCATTTTAATATTCTAGAAATGTATTTATGTGTAATATCAGTAATGAAAAACATAAATCGGATTTAATGTTACTATTGTCAAATACAATTAAAAATAGTAAAATCATTATTTATTATTTTATGGCATTTAATATGAAATTCTTTAATTTAGGGTCTACTACTCCGATGAGCATCCAGGAAACAAATGGAAAAAATCCTCGAGATAAAGCTCATGCTTGGCCAGATAATAAGGTATTTTCATTTTATTATATAAACTTAGATTAGTTTAAATGATTCAGTATAATGAATATTTAGATATTAGACTTTTTTCAGGACCACGTATAGATGTATAAATTACGTATAAATTATATCTAGTACATATCTACACAGATACATCATAAGGATACCTATATATTATACTAAATTACATAGACTAAACCGCGGATATAGCTTACAAATTAAATTTAAAAAAATACTCGCATATAAAGTACATTTTTTTAAACGTAGGTAAATATTTCGGTTGTGGAATTAAGATATTTATTAACATGGTTTTTTTTTTTCAGAACGAAGAATATCCAAGAAGAATCTTAGGAATCCCTACAAAAATAACGTATAAAACAAAAAGCAATAAATAAACACGAAAAAATTACATTGCCTACAGCTCTAATATATATTATTTGTAAACTTTACTTATAAATCTATATTTTATATCTAATAATTTAAATTATTTAATTTAATTTAAAGTTTTCTGTACATTTGTACAGAAAATTTTGTTGGTATGTATTATTAGTATGTTATACCAATTAATTAGGTACATCTCGATAAATACAATATATAATTAGGAACACAAAGCAATGTATAAAAAATCTTAATTATCTACGTTAGAAAGATAAAAGGTTACACGTGGCGTCAGTGGGCTGGTAGTAGTGTGAGCCAGCATCACAACTTGAACAAGGCCATAAAACAACAGAAGTCCCGGAAACGACTAGAATATCTCGTGGACGCTGTCCATAGACTATTATTTTCCTACTTTACCCCAACTGATATTCAATGTGCTTTATAATAATTATCTGTAACAAACTAGTAGTCTTGCACTTTCCTTTGGGAAGGTGAAATGTTGCAAAATACTTATTAGTTATTACCGACATGGGAAATTCAAGACTATAGGCAATTAATACAAAATTTCTTCAAAAAACCTTAATATTCCAGATATTTTCGGATTTGTGAGTAGTAATCTTACAATGTAATTTCCTACACATACTGAGTAATAAATGTACATTATGGGGGGTCCCCACATATGGATAAAAAAGTTGTCCTGTTTTTGACTAAGCATTTGAATAGAGATATCATATGATCATCTATATGATCTAAGCTAAATGAATATAATTTGGTTATAGGTGCTATATAAAGTACTATACATCACTTGGAAGAAAGTATGATTCTCAATTCGCAATCGGACATTTTTTTTCCGTGTAGAATAATTTGCTATTGGAGTTTACTTAATTTATCGGTCTCATGACGACACGATTTGTATAAAAGGTTCCAAAATTATTTTCATAATTTAGACTTTCAACCCACGTTCCTTAGGGAAAGTTGCTAGTTTGAATAATCCACAGGTTATAAAAACTTTGTGTATTGGGCCAGATTTAGAGGTTCTGAACTTCTGGCTTGAGCCTTTAAGTACATTTGTTATCTAGTATTATTGATGCTGGAATTGTTAGCTCTTAGTTGAATTTTGAATTTATCTTTATAAGTGAGAAAACCCTTGATATTATTAGGACATTAGTATTTATTCGCCACTTCGTTTGCGCGACCGGAATAAACAGTGTACGCTTATGTCCTTCTCCACAATTAAATAAAAACTCATTTCCATATTTATAATATTAGTACGGATTATAACAATATAGTTTCTTTCAAAGAAATAAATTGAAAAATTCAACCTTCTGATCTACGTATTTCCAAAACTAGAGTCGATCCCATATCGTTCAGAGAGATGTGGCCGAGTGCGTTTACAATTTTATTACGCCACGAAACGCGGTAACTCTAGTAATAAGATTCAGTTGGTAAAATTTTAAATCTTTTTTTATAATAATATAAACTTTACAATACAACCTCTGCTTAGTTTGGAACTAGAAGCATAGTGTAATAAATACATAATGTAATATGGCCAAAGATATGTTTTACTATTTTCTTTAAAAATAGCATAGATAGTCGATATCAATATAGAAACTACTTATTAATAAGTGTAATTATGTAGCAATGTTTGTCTTTATAGATATTTGATACAGGTTTAAGTTTTAACTCATAAATCAAGTAATAAAATATTGATTTTTAAAAACAATATCTAACTGTACACTTTATTACAAATGAGGGCCAATATACAAAAACGTTTATCTTTATAGTAAGAATGACTTCATCATAGCGAATGAGAAAGCGATGGGGACCTCTTCTGAATTTCAAATGAATAGACATAATCCATATTTCAGTGGAAATACCAGCCGCAAGCCGCACTGAATCTCGGATTATGAGTTTTGCTACAGAAAATCCAACAGTTTGATGAAAAACTGAGAGAGCAGATTGTCTTAAGTAATTCTCTTATATAAGTTGCATTTAATTACTCGAGTGCAGCACTTTCATGTTGCCATCTTAAATAGATTTCCGTCAACTACGTAAAACGTGTTAGGACGTCGCTTCAGATTTTCGCCAAATTACGTCCCAAGGTATATTGTAAAGCGTTTGCATATTCAAACACGACTCACAGACCTCTCCGCCAAACGTTGGCAGTAATTTGAGGAATTATTTTGAGTTGACGTAATATCTAATGTAATTGAACAATCACAATAAACTGTAGATTTACGTATTCAAATATTTGTATTAACAATGGTATGCACGAAACGTGGTAAAATTATTTAATTTAATAAGCTTACCTATGAATTTTTACCTGATTTGAATAAACGAAAACTGCAATTATATTTTAACTCTATGTAAATATCGCAAAGAAAACTGATTTTACTAAATATAATATTCCGCGGGCGGCTGCAGCGGGTTTATTAAACATAAAACCTTTTATTTTGTTACGCGACACTGGGCTCCCAATTTTCTACTTCGCAGAAAATTGCCGACCGGGGAGACCTTCGAACGTAATCCACGATTTATTTATATTAATTCAAATTCAAATATTATTACGACAGTTATATAATATTATAATCACATCTTAAATATTTATAACTAACCTATATACATAACTATTTTTAAATTATTTAGATAGTTATTTGTTAAAAATAAATATACTTACGACTATAATTCTTAATGGGGTAGTCAGAGACATCTGGCGTTTGTTACCATTATGGTGAATGTAACACTCGCCATGCCCAATTTCACCGAGCATATTAGAATTAAACGTGACGGGGCGTCCCCTGTCACGTCGAATTCTATTCGTTTGTGTGATAAAAGTCATGAATTACAAGATTAACACAATTTTATACTTTACAAAAAATTCGCCTTTATTTAAAAAAATTAAAGATTATTTTCACAGACGTATTTCTTGAAAGATACTATCTAGATGTTTATAATGTAAGGTAATTCATTACAATTGGAGCGTGAAGTTACGTCTTCGATAGTCCAGGGTCCGAGTCATTCTCTTGAGGCAGCGTGTCGTAATTCACACAATAGAAGTAAAACTATTCAATATCAATTTTCAGAAAAGTAATGTATATCTACAGAATTTCACCAGAGATTACGACGGAACCTATAAAAAACGTGTGATTCGGCGAGCCAAATTGCATTTAAAGAAGTATTTTTTTTTATTAACTACAGATATATTTTTAACCATTAATGTGATAGTATTACAGCACATCCAACGTATTTGAAATTTATGAAATTACTTGTAAATTCAATAATTTTATTACAGAATGCTCTAAAGTATTTAGTTTTAACTTTTTTTTTATACAACTTAGAATGGCAAACAATCTGACGGTCCACCTGATGGAAAGCGGTAATCGTCACCTATAGACATGAGCAGTAACTATGTCTACTTCACTGTTCATAAATTTTTCTTCATCTAAAATTCTGACTAATATCAATATGAATATGCAAGATTTTCAAGCAAAAGTATCCATAAATAGTTTCTCCTATGACAATAATCACAAATGGTATACAGTCGCAGTGTGTATGTATTTATGAAATTGAACGACTTTCCCCAAAAAGAGAGTAGTTGAATTCTCAAAACATTTTTTGAACTTTTTGTACAAATCGTATAGTCATATAATTCTCTATGAACAGTTAAAATAAAACTATTTTTAGTGACTTCTATTACGAGAAGATTATCATTTGATCTGTGTTTTTAGGCCTATCTTTCACAATTACGTTGCGAATCTAAAACATTTTTAAAATTTTTTTTTCGCAATCAATTTGGTTTACTCCCATGTCAATCCCATATTATATTATATAATTTTATACCAGTTAAAGAAATCAAATTTAATTATAGATACAAGATTTCAGGTTTTAAATTATAATATTAATTTAATAAATATAGGATATGTAGTCGCGTAACGTAGCCAAAAAAATATAAACATAAACGTATCGAAAAGTCTCTCTTACTCACCTACTTACTATAACTTCAAAAACTTTAAAACGCCGTGAAATATTTGGCTACTAGTCAGCGACAACATTATTAAAGTCTTTTTAAAAACCGATAACAACCTAATAGATGCCATATAATACATATAATCTGTTCGCAACCGTGTTTGAAGCGAAGGTTATTTAAAACTGTTTATTTTAATAGGCACGCGGTACGACAGGTGAATATACCCAATTACGTTTCGATCAGGGGAGCGCCGGAGGCGCGTGCGGTCCGCATAACCGGATTACTGGTCTGTGACTCCTGGCCGTCGGGTCGTATGTTGGTACGGCAATTGCCATCACCAACCACACATTTTGACACAATTTCATCAATAAATTGACGCGCCACTGCACTTGCTTGATCAGATCACATTATCAGATGTACGGATATCCTTACTAACATTATAAATGTGAAAGTGAGTTTATTTGTAACCTAGCGCCTTAACATATCAAGTAATACACTTATTATTTGGGACGGAAAAGGAGAGAGGCTTACTTTTATCTCGATCAATCAGTAAGACGAAGTCGCTGGTAAAATTTTGTGTGTAAACAATGCTGAATAGGACCTTGTAACAACAAGGTCCTATTCAGCATTGTTTACACACTGAAATCACTGATGATCCAGTGAAACAACCGGGACTTCACTTTGACAGATCGTCACGCGAAGCGGTTGTTGGTCCTTTTATTTTTGAATTCGTTTGTTTATTAGCTGTTAATTTTATATACATATATAAGTAAAATTGATATGGTAAAAATCACAGACCTTTAATTTTCTTTATTTCACATTTATTAGACTTAAATTTGTGCTGAAAAACATCCCTTAATACACATACACATCTTTTTAAAGAGGCTCTTGAAAAATAATCTTATATTACGCCAATGTTTAAAATATTGATAGGTAGTAAATACAACTTACTGAAGAAGAATAAAGTGACTTACGATTAGTGTGTTATATTTTTTGTTTCCAAAATGCCTACGTATATTTTAAATAAATGTACGTAGGCATTTTGATCTATTAACGAAAACTTATATTTTGTTAATTGGATGACTGTAAAATGTGTCCATTTACAAACAATGATTGTTTTGTAAAATATTGAAAGTAAATTCTTCAATGTGCCTCGTCATTTTGTAAATGGACTCAAAAGTAGCAAACGATACGCATTGCACAGTACCCGTGTTTACGTTTTTTTGTTTTTCCTATATATTACACTAATCATAAAACGTTCATTGAAATGTTGAATTTCGTATTTAGGTCGTTACTAGTTTTTAACTCAGTTTGAACGAATATGAAAAAATAACCTGTATAAATAAATTTATGCCCACGAGAACGCAAACACGAGTACCGCTGCATAATATTTCAATTCAACAAGCAAAAGATTGAAGCGATAGTAGAAAAGTGAACACAAAATGTTAGCACCCGCGCGGAAATTGATAAAAGGTACCCATACAAGTATCGAGTTTATTATTTTTTACATTGGACCGTATTTTAAATAAAACCAGACATTACTGACATTTAAAGAAGTCGACCTGTCAAAGAAATTTCACATTGTTACAAACGATACAAGAATAATAAGCAATTTAACTTTTATATTAAAGTTATTGCAATCTGTACTTTGATTATACAACATGACATAAAATAAATAAAAAAAAAGTATTATAAACCCATTTTTCTAACATAACTATTGACAGCATATTGAAATCTTATAATTTTCATATTGTGTATATGTTTCGTATGTTTGAAACCCAGCAGCCCAGTTGATATGTTACTAAATGATAGATTGTTTTATGTGATAAGATATCAAATAAACATAAGTGCCTACCACAGTTTACAGACACTAGTACTACCACAACAGTCGCCGATGCCTAACGGTTTAAATTCTTATCTTTAAAATCCCATTTTACTATATTAAACGAAATTGATCACGGTGGATTGGACACTTTATTAAATAATCGAGTTTAAAACAAAGTCATAATCTTTTGCGACTTATTAAACAACTTCAAAGGATTCCAATGACCTAAATAATGTTGGCAAGACCGTAACCCTATTATATCGATGACAATGGATTGGATTCAGATTTAAGTAGAAAGTTACTTTTATGAAGTTATAAGATCGATAGTCATACTTATCTTTCTATCTTATAACTTTAAAAGTTATCTGTAATGTTTTAAAAAATGATTTAATGTAATGTAATCAATTAGTACATATATTTTTATTAAAATAGTAGAATTTTGCGTTAGTTAAGGTATATAATGAACTTAAACTCTTAAGTTGGATTAGACATACGCTACGCTGTATACCTAGACAAGTTCTCGATAAGACATAAAATAAACATCTAAAGTCAATATTGATTTCGATACCATCATAGTGAAAACTCAGAAAAGGAAACTTTTTTGGAATGAGATCAAGGAAACAGCATTAAAAATAGATTATTATCATTATAATTGTATTGTACTAGTTTACTCAGTCACAACCATAGGCGCACTTAAGGGGGAAGGGCGTGCTCACCTCCGAGTTGCCTGAGGTCCAACCCATGATGTTAATATGCCTCTTTTTAAGAGGGAAAAATTTGGAAAGTAATTTTTCATATGTAATGGTCTATAGGACGAAGAAATCGTTATAACAATTTTATAAAAAATAATATAATATAGAATTGCAACTGAAATATAACAACGACTATGACCAGTTGTAAGGAAATAATCTAACTTTAATTGAAAACTGAATCAGATATAAAGTGCAAACACTATTCACGAGGACGTCGAAATTGCATTGGTCCATTATAAAAGCTTTGGGTTTATTTACTTAACCTGTTTCAGAGAGAGACAACCTACACTCATTTTACGTGGCAACCGCAGGCAGCGCTGCGACGACTGCTGATAACCGTTCGCCGCCATGCCGCACGACGGAACAAAGCGAACAAACTATTGTCACAGCGGGATATTCTGACCGATCCCATTTCACTTTTTCCATTGACGTTCAAAATGGAACGTTGTTTATATTTCTTGTGGACATACCATCCGTATATTTTTTTCGGGAAATAGGTTTCAATTTGAATCTCTAAAGAGTATGCGACTCAATTGCCTGCAAAGAGCATAAAGGGATACCGCGGCAGGCACCTTACTAAAGTTAGGCTACTTCTAAAATATTTAAATCTCGGGGGCGACTTTCCCCGCGCTCCCGTAAAATGCAAAACAAGTAAAGTTTCCCTCTAAATCAGCGGAGTCAGCAACGCGGTGCCCCGACGAGCCTCGCGGCTCGACAAACATACCCGGACAACAAACAAACTTGAATTTAGCTTCAGTACTGGTTTGGGTCTTTTAAATTTCTTTACGTAGAAGAGCTCAAACAGCAGTTACTTTAAAACATTTTAATATTTCATCTACAGGAATTTGAATACAAGATGCAAATTAAAGTAAGAATTAAACAGAATATAACAGAGTATAAACGAAACCGTAAATTTGATATATTACTTTATCAGTTTCTGTTTTACTCGTGAAGTTACATATAGTAAGTAGAAAAAATAAATAAAATACTCTATAATACGAGTAGTACATATACTCTGTTATCTCCATAGTACTGACGTGCGTCGTTAACTTGTTTGTCATTTTATGCTGCATAAAAAAAAATATTCACATAATTGTTTGCAATCATATAGAGTCTAAAAATTAGGAATACATCAATGTAGACAAATATTTTTATTATTACAAATTAGCTGATCACGTAACTTTGGCAATGTAAGATTACGATAAAATATATCTTGTGTTAATCGAGGATAATGTTTGTGTAAGAAATTTGATTCAAATCCTCTTAAAGATGTTTGGATGGATTTACTCAATAAACATCTAAACATCTACAAACTTAATTATAATATCGGCAGGTTTATCTTAATAAGAAAAAAAATTGTTGGTATAATTTCAGTCAGATAGAAACAGTATTCATAATTACACAATGGATACCATCGATCAATTTGTTAAACAATCAACTCCCCTATCTATTATATCTTTATATTATTTTATCTATCTATATATTAGATCATCGAGTTATAAAAGTTTTCAGCAAATTTTTTCATACCTTCAATTCAATGTTGGCAAGGACCTGAAACAAAAGGATTTTCATTTAATAATGTTTCACATTTTGAGCAGTTCTAACGTAATGAATTAAGAGAGATATTAATAAAACACAACAAGTGTCGAGCGGATATCTAAAAGGAAGCGTACATCCTGAATTTCTCATTAAAGAAATTTTTGAAACACCACAGATGTGGTTTGGTCATATTTTTATACAGCTATCTACGTTTTGATTTAAAATTTAGATAATACTCAGTATTTTTATGTTTCTGCTACAATTTATGTTATTATGTTATATGCACTTATGGAGACACTAATTTCTATGAATCAATAATAAATATGGTACAACTAAGTCATATGCAGATTATTATCTGCATCTATTATTAGATTAATTATTTTAACTAATGTTATTTAAAGTTATGAGTTGAATAAATGGATGTAATTATAAGATTAGGTTTTTTTTATGCAACTTAGAATGGCAAACAAACTGACAACCCACCTGATGACCAACCTATTTATTTATTTAAATATATATATATTTATAAATAAATATATACCTATGAACATGAACAGTACCATGAACATAACAGAGTACCTATACTGTATCGTCCATGATATCTTTCGTGTTTCAATTTCTAAGGACTAAGGGTTATGTCTCTGTACCCTGAAATTTCGATGCCATATCTCACCTTTTAAACCCAAACACAATCATGCAAACATAACTGTTTCACGACGGAAGCATGAATGGGACAGAAGTACCCAAACAGACGACCTTTTTACAAAGTCTTTCTCATTAAATGATTCGTATCCATCTGATGATACGAGTAAGTAGAGATGTCAAGCTTCAATTGATCATTATCACAAACATTTCATGTACAAGCAGCAGGAATACGTTGCAGCACTGATTACTATGAATATACAAATACAAAAGGTAGTTTACCAGCATTACTGATTAAATAAATCATAGTGTCAGTATAAAAGTCCAGTATGTTATGGTTTAATATACATATACTTGTGTATGCAATAATTTACATATATTCTATTATATATCTACCTAAGACCATTGTTTGAAACTCCTGCATAATATGCATTTAGATACAGAATCTATCTCCAGGGACACCTAATTAGTAGTCATAAATGTAACTTCCAAGACTCTGTCCACACCGTGGAGAGTTCCGGAGAGAGCCCATCACGTGCACGCCACAATAGTCTCTAACCGTTTCACTTTTTTCCTAGTCAAGTAATCTGAATAATAAAATTGTGTGGAATTATTTAGACTCTCGACAGTGTCCTACACAGACCTATTATGGTGTTCGTGTTTAAGAACTTTGTATTGTGTTAATTGTCTCATCGCCACCCCTACATCTTATTTCTCGTCGCGTTTGAGGGTTGAAATTTATGTTTTCACTGAAGTCGTCTGGACAACTGACAGATTGATGAGTAACTCATCAAGCTGTCAGTCGTCCAGAAGACTTCAGTCATCGTGAGTTTATTATTGTTGTAACTACAGCATAACAGTTTTCATTATTATTACTCGTACATTTATTTATTTATAGAATTACCAGCATAAGATACAGCTAAACATTTTAATACAATACACTGGTAGATTAGATCTTACTGTTCTTACAACCAATAAGCAACCACAGCATGCCTTGTGTTAGATAAACATTAAAATATAATTAAATTATTCAATGTCATTATATGAGTAAAGATATTAAATATATTAATAATAATATAATATAAATAATGGAAATTGTATTTAAATTATTATATATTATAAATAAATATAATGTAATGGGGAGGTACATCAACATTTCAATTTAGTCATGAATACAGAGTGACTATCGTTGGTACATAGGTTTATATATATTATTACATTTAAATAAACCTGAAATTTCTCATTATTTTGCCAAATGACTTAAACATTACGTTTATTGAAGTTTCTTTCCATATCCGCTACAGCTATACCAATGTAAAACGTTGAAGTATTTATTCCATATTTTAATATAGACTTAGATCTACATCATCGAAATCCGTCTAGAAGTAATAAAAATCAAAGTTTTTACCACATTTATATTATCAATGCAATATCAGCATCACTCTTTTGTAAGTATTATATATACTAATATTATAAAGAGGAAAGATTTGATTGTTTGTTTGTAATAGATATACTCAAAAACTACTCAACTGATTTTAAAAATTCTTTCTTCTATAGAAAACTACATAATCAACTAGTAACATAAACTATATATTATTTTCGAAAATTCTATCTACCCGTGCAAAGCCAGACCGAATCGTTAGTATAGTGAATGTAATGAAAATTTATGTAAATTATATTCCTTTAGTTAGGAATAAAGCAAAATTGAATACCCACAGCCATTAATTTCGATCATAATATCGTCCACATAAAATAATATTCTTTATTAAGCTGTCATATAAATAAAACTCCCAGCACATTAGCTTTAGCGGTGGTATAATACTGACAAATATGACGAGGGAACTAGAGAGAGCAACGTCAGACCCCATCAATATCTGTCGTCAGTCACCGAGTAGCCAAATAAAATTATTATGAATGACCTACCGATAGCCGGATGACGTGGAGGTTCCTGTTTCACTCTCATATAACATGAGATGACCTAATTCGCTCAAATTTTTCTCGTGTCATTGGTGAAACGAGGGGTATGTCTTGTAATCGTTATTTATTTATATACTGTAGTATCTGATAAACTCTACTTACATTACGTATTTTCGTTATAATTTTTAAAGTTGTTACATGTTTAGACTTGTGCACGGAAATCCATGAGAGGTACCATGTACATAACATATCCCTAGCGCTGTTCAAATCTGTACTATAACCACAGTAAAATTTTTACAGTACTTAGACCGTTGTCTTTTTGGTCATTCTAGTAGTATGAAAAATTGTTCCAGACTATAAATGACATGCAAAAGGTGAACTACTGCCACTCCAGAAGACTAAGAGGTTAAGTATGCTTTTTGTATATTTGAAATTTGACTATCAATAAATAAACCTATGTATATTTCAGTACCATTATAGGTTGGAAATAGACAAAACTGACCAAGAAAAGACAGCTAGTAGAATATACATAGAGTGTAAGTACGAATACAGATATGCACAAATTTTTAAAATTTTCTATTTTATAAGGGATGAGTGTCTGATTAAAACGTCGAGATAGTTCAGGTAAATTATCAATTTACCTAAATGATCGCGTTTATTCCAATCTCATATAAAACATAAAATATACAGCGCGAAAGTTAATAAGTTAATAATTTTCTGTCCATTAAAAACGCTATTATCATTATTCCAGTAGGAATAGATATCGAATGTTAACAAACACAATTTATTGCGTACTGAAACAGGATTATTTAAACCTGTTTGGCAACACGTCTTTAAATTTATTGTATCTAAAAGGGAACAACAGTAATCTCCATAAAGCTTAGTACGCTCCAAAAATGCATGTATTTTATTTGTAGCCTTTCACATTGGTAAACTGATAATCCATGTGGTGTGCGCACCCGAGGTACAGGGACACAATGTGTCAAGTATGATAAGCAGAAAAATACTCCCAAAACAAACAAAAATGTTGAGTTGAGCGCCAGCGGAAAAATGATCCCGTCACTTCACTGTATTTGAAGATGTTGTGTGACCAAATTTATGCCATATATATCTGGTAATATTTGATAGACCTAAAATAATAAAACGACCCCTTCTTATATAAAATAGACACCAACATTGTTCAGCAAAGAAAACAAGCGTCGGAACGTCGAAGTTTTTATCATGTAGAATAAAAAATTTATGAGTCGTAAAGTCCCTGATATCTTACTAATAGCATAATAGCAAAAAATAAATTACAGTGACGCAGAAGACGAGTCACTTCCATAGTGAAAATCTGTTATAGGCGTTTACTATATAAGGGTAAAATTATAGGTATATAAAAGTAGTATATAAAATTACTTTGATTGGTACTGTTCAGCAATGGACAGTTAACGGCTGATATAATATGAGCTTCAAATTACTCAGCGAGCTATGAAGAGGGCTATACTTAGAGTTTCTTTGTGTGGCAGAATCCGAAATGAGAATATCCATTAAACAAACGAAGCGGTGACTGTTAACCCGAAGAATAAGCAAGCTGAAGTGGCAATGGGTTGGTCACATAGTTCAAAGAACCGACAATCGTTGAGGAAGAAAGGTTGTTAAGTGGCAACCCTGTACGGACAAATGCAAGGTAGGACAAAACTCCACTAGATAGGGTGATGACCTCAAATGCATTGCAGGGAGTCAGTGGATGCAGGTGGCTCAGGACCGATATTAATGGTAGTCTATGGGGGATGGCCTACGTTCAGCAAGACGGATAACGACTGAGATAATGATGATGATGATGACGACGACGATAATAATGATAGCAATGATGATGATGATAATGATTACAATAATGAAGAATGTATATCAATCAAAGTAATTTTCTGCTTCTATTATACATAAAAAACATTTTCCTACCAAAACTATCATTTAATCCGAAAAACTGTAAAGAGTACATATTATGATTAGATTGTTGTCGTAACACTTGGATCTTCATTGTGAAAAATCTTAATAACCGAATGAGAATATACAAATTCTTCATACATTTTTACAATTTTACATATAGGTAATGTTTTGTCTAATAAAAAATATATTATAAGGGATTTTACCAATTAAATTGCTTTAACAAAACCGCCACTCATTAAAGTATCATAGCAGTTTAGTATAATAATTAAGCATAATGAATACACAGCAGTTGCTAAACTGCAAATAGCGGAATTCAGTAATTGGGGTGCGCTGATTAGTTCTGTCGACTACTTAAGACTATATTTGTACTAGCTACGTTTGCTGGATATTCCATGTCTGTATTAAACATAATTAAATAAAAAATGCTCTAGTCTATAATACCTAATAGGGTAGTTACTAACTACTAATCAGAGGCATTTATCGACTATTAACGTTCGAACTTAACACTAGATAGGTCCACATTT